AAAATAGGTAACAATAGAGCCTACTTCATAGGGTCATCGTGAGGATGAAAGAGATGACATGTGTGAAGTGCTCAAACAGTGCCAGGGACATAGTAAGGTCTGTGGATCTGGCACTTAAATCTTTTCAGAGAGAGAACGAGAAAGCGGTGACACACACATGAGAAGTGGTGCCTGAAATACCAGGGTGGCCTGAGCCAGTTGGTAGCAGGGACACGAGTTGAGTACAAAGCGGTAAAGTTTTTGATTGTAGTTTTTTTTATGTTTTAGTTTCAGATATTCACTACTATCTATAAAATAGATAAAGAACACGTTTCTGCTGTATAGCACAGGGAACTATATTCAGTGTCTTACAGTAACCTATACTGAAAAAGAATATGAAAATGAATATATGTGTGTATATGTATGACTGAAATATTATGCTGTACACCAGAAATTGACACAACATGGCAAGCTGACTATACTTCAGTTAAAACTAATAAAGTATTATAAACAGTTTTTTTAAAAGTTGTAAAGGGCCATGCCAGGGTAAGCCACATGACAATGCTCAGGGATGTGCCCTTGAAACTTAAAGGACGGGTCAGAGGAAGCCCTGCTCGGCCCGCTGGGAAGTGGTGTTATGAACCTGCTACTAAAAGATGCCAAAAAAAAAATAGGCTCTCCTTTCAGAAAACGCAGAGGAAATACAGTCAGGCCCCTCGGTGACAGCAATGGGAGACGAGGGATGTCGTGCTCCATTCCAAGCAATGAGATTTAGGAGGGACCTAGAGAAGCCGGAGAAGCTGAACCACCACGTGGAAAAACCTAATTCTGGAGAAGCCGAGGCAGCGGAGGGCTGAGAAGGAGGGTGCCGTCTCGGCTCCCTGCAGCCGGTGCCGGGCACAGCCTGCAGGGGCGCAGAGCTGGAAACGGCGCCATCACGTGCTGGAAGCATTCTCGTTCTCGCTGCGTGGCAGGCCTTTGACACCTTGTTGTTTAAAATAAAGTGCGAGTGGGCTGCCCGCCCTTCCTGTGAAGGGCTCAGGGAGAGACTGGTGATCCCACTTAGGGACTAGTTCTAGCGATTATGTGAGAAGACCTCACACCTAATTCCCCTTTTGATTCTAATGATGTAAGAATCTAAGTGGAAGCACGGGTGAGAAATGTATAAAGATGGAGAAATAATTAGGTAGTTAGGCCGAGAGCATACCTAATTGAGGAACTGGAGCTATTGGGATTAAATGGCTTTTAAGATTAACCATCCAGGTAACAACAAGGAAAAAAGTCGTATCTTTTCCAAAAAAAAAAAAGGGGGGTTCTTTGGTATCCTTGAGACAGAGGATATTATACTGAAGGAATCTTTGGCCCAATTTGAATTGACTTTTTTTTTTAATATTCTTATGACTGAGAGTTTACTACAGAGGGCTGTGCTGGGCATCAGAGATGGACAGGGGACAGTCCCTGCCCTCAGGGCTCTTTAAGGAAGAATGAGGAATAAAACTGCAAACCTTAACTTGAGTCAAGTGAATGCCCACCAGGATTATAAACAAACCAGTGTCAGGAAGGGCCGGGTCCAGGCTGCCCTCTGCCTGAGGGACTGAAGGAGGCATTCCAGTCCACAAAGGCTCTTCTCAGCTTGGAATCAGCTTCAGCAACAACAGGTGGCACGAAAATGTGTGTTTGGAGGGTCCTGGGTGTTTCAGCATCCAGGATCTCTTGTCTGTGAACCACAGAAAAGGACCCGGTTCCATCCGGCCTCTAGACCGTTTTCAACAAATTGAATTTGCTATTTGCTGAAGATCCTGAAGTCAGGTGAAAAGTCTGGGCCTCCTGTTCCCTGCGTGTGCCTTAGTGTGCCTGGGGCCCGTCATGCCCACTGTTGGCTTCTCCAGAAGGACAACGAGCACTTTGATAAGGACACAGCAGAGGAGGCACAGACAGCCCATCTCAGCTGCCCTTGAGGCGAGGAGGTCAGCTGAGTAGGCCTCACTCCCTCCTGGTCACTTTTCAAGTTGAAACTATCAACCGTGGTGAAGAGCGTTGGTGCAACAGAGCTATCCAAATAGTTACACTTAGAAAAAGTCGTCCTGGCTAATTAAGTCAAAGCAGTTCCGCAAAGGTCTGTTTTTGCCATAAATGCTACGGGTTGAATTTTTTTTTTAACTTGGCTTCTGGAGTATAACTTTGTAAGTAAACATAATCCCCTGAACCAGGATATTGCTTGGGCAGTGGGCTTTGACAATGTCAATATTTTTGGGCTTTGACAATGTCAATATTTTAAAACATCAGTGTATTTTTATTGGTCTTCAAAGGCTTAAATAATTAAAATTCTGGCACGTGGAAGATTCTCAATTCATGGTTTGCCTCTAAGTGAATGAATGCCCCACGCTCAGTGCATCCTCCTTGGGAAGAAGGTGTCTTTTGAAGGCCCTGGCTGCTGTGTAAATCTGTGCCCTCCAGGGCAGCAGCCGCCAGTGATGCAGAGCACTTGCCCTGTGGCTGGTCCAAGTTGAGATGTGTTCAAAATATACAGTGAACACCAGATTTTGAAGACCTCATATTACAGACTATCTTATTAATACATGTTTATAATAGGTGTTTGTTGAAGTGACACTGTTTTGATAATATTGGAATGAATAAAATATTCAAATCAATTTTACTTTTCTTCCCCCTCAAAAGGTGGCTTCTAGAAAATGTCAAATCAGCTACGTGGCTCATGTTTATTTCTACTGGACAGCTCAGCTCCAGGGCCTTGCCCCACATTCGTTCCCACCCACGTCACCTCCCTCATCCTGGGTCATCTCTCATCAGTCTCACCCCAGTGTTTGCCCCAGCCCACCTGTCTAGTGCTTTCTGGTGTCCCTGTAACTGTGACAATGTTCTGCATAGGGAATATTGACATGTCCTTTAAGATCTGTCATACATCTCTTCCTTCAAAAATCTTCTGACCATCTTAGGGCAAAATTAATTTGTCCCTCCTCTGTCCCATCTCCTTGTTTTTGAAATATTTGGGGTTTTGGGAAATATTTGGTTTTTGAAATACTTGGCCCCCCTCACCCCACTGCCTGCTCTACTGTGTTAAGTTCCTTGAGGACAAGGGGACCATGATTTATCCATCTCTGTATAAGATGAACACTTAACTCCAACACACACACACACACACACACACACACACAAACATGCATAGTAAGAGCTGAAGAAATAAACAAATACTAGCCCTCTGTAACACCCCTTTCTGTATAAAGGCATGAAACACAGAAAGTTAACACAGCATTGGGTTTACTTCTAAAAGTTGATGCCCTAGGCTGCTAGCCTAAGAGTCAGCTAGATGCTTATAAACATTAGCATTCCCAGGCTTCACTCCAGACTCACAGGTTCAGTCAGGAGATGTTAGGTCTTGCTGCAGTAACAAAACCTCATTGCCTTGATAGCAAAATTTTCCCATTCATTCAAAGTCCACAGTGGGCCCTGGGTGACTCTCGAGGGAAATAGCTGGTTCAGGTTAAACCTCCTGTGGTGCCCACAGCTGAACGCTTTCACCCAGATGTGGGTCACTTCAGCAACTCCTATGGCCGTATCTAACTTCAAGGGGCTGGGGAAGACCAAACCTGTGGGCCTGGAAGTCAAAGGATGTGTATATTGCTGAATGTGAATCTCTGAGGTGGAGCTGGGGAGTCCACATTTTTATCTCCTAGCGGT